GGGCCTATGGGGTTTGGGGTTTAGGGTTGAGAAACCCTAAACCCTAAACCCTGACCCCGTTCAGGGTTTAGGGTTCAGGGCTCAGGGTTTGGGGCTCCGGACTCCCGGGTCGCACAGAATCTGAAGTAAGAGCAAGACAGCAGTGGAGTGTTCAGACACGGAGAATTCGAACCTTGCAGCCTGTCCAATGCCTACATCCCCAGACCTCAGGCTGGCGATCTTAAGCTTTGTTGACTTTAGGGTTTAGGGTTCAGGCTTTGGGGTTCAGGGTTCATGGTTCGAGTCGAGGGTACCCGGACTTAGACGGAAGGGTTTCCGGCTCAAAGTACGGTAAACCCAAAACCCTACTCCTTATATCCCTAAAACCCTAAACCCTAAAACCCTAAACCCCAAACCCGAAACCCCAAATCCCCAAACCCAAAGCCCTAAACCCTAAACCCTGAGCCCTAAACCCCAAATCCCACTTCCTTCTTTGTTGGACTCCGAAGTCCGCAAGACGAGGAAGCGTTGGCTCAACGCCGTGGACCCAACGGGAGGATGTTTGCACTACTTGGCCGCCGTGCCACTGGGGTCGACTTAGCGTCAGGACTCGCTGACCCTAATTGGGGGATAAGGGCTTCCTAAAACCCTAAACCCTAAACCCTGAACCCTAAAACCCTAAACCCTAACTAGGTGTTTAGGGCTTCAGAGGTTTATAGGGCTTCAGGGGTTGAGCCGACTTATTGTGAAAACTCGTTGACCCTTAGGTCCAAACACAAATTTTCAAGTATGCTCCGATGGAGGACTTGAGGTTCAGGGCTTAAGCCCTAAACCCCCTAAACCCCTAAGGCTTATGGTTGAAGATCCCCAGGTTGAGGGTGCAGACTGCAGGTTTGACCCTTGCGGGTTTTGGCTTGAGGGTCTGGGGTTTAGGGTTTAGGATTTAGGGATTTCATTGGTTTGGGGCTGAGGGTTGAGGCTTTGGGTCAAGCTTTGCACTTGGCTCATAGAGGTTTCGCGCTTGTTTTCCACGTTCGGGTGTTTCGAGCTAATTTGTACATGCTTCGAGGGCTGAGACTTACGGGGATGTGGGGCCTGGCACCCATGCAGGCCCTAAGCCCTGAACCCCTAAACCCTAAACCCCTAAACCGCTAAGCCCCAAGCCCTAAACCCCTAAAGCCCTAAACCCCTGTTGAGTTTGAAGGCTCATGGCTTGGAGTTTAGGGTTGAAGCCCTCCACGGAAATGCAACACCTTAAGAGGGTTTAGGGTTTGGGGTTTGGGTTTAGGGTTTAAGCCCCAAGCCCATTAAAACGTAGAGTTTTGGCACTCAGCCCTCGACCCCTTTGGGGCTTAGGCTTAGGGGTTTCAGGGGTTTAGAGTTTCAGGCTTTCAGGGTTTAGGGTCATCCTAAACCCTAGACCCTAAGCCCTAAACCGTTGAAACTCTCGAGTCGCAGACCTGCTGCAAGTCCTAAGGCAGGAGAGGCAGCCCTAAACCCTAAACCCTATAAACCCTGCTGCTAAGGCAGGAGAGGCACGAGACCAGCGAGCACCTCGCCAAAGCCTACGTAGACGAGGAGTCGGGTCGATGCATGCTGCGACCCGGCCCAGTTACGTTCTGGGTTCAGGGTTTGGGGTTTAGGGGTTTAGGGTTTTAGGGTTTTAGGGTTTTAGGGTTTAGGGTTTAGGGTTTCAGGGCTTTAGGGTTTAGGGTTTAGTTTAGAACTCTGAGAAGAAGAGCAACTCGGGGTCTGATGCCTTTGTGGCATGGTACGGTTGGCTGATGGACAGAATCTTGCCGGTTCAAACCCCAAAACCCTGAACCCTAAACCCTAAACCCCCAAACCCCAAAACCCTAAACCCCAAAGCCCACAACCCAAACACCTGAACCCTAAACCCTAAACCCTAAACCCCCAAACCCCAAAACCCTAAACCCAAAAACCTGAACCCTAAACCCCTAAACCCCAAAGCCCAAAACCCAAAACCCTGAACCCTAAACCCTTTATCCCCGGGAGGTTGAGGGTCCAGGATTCTTCTGCCAAGCATCATAGGCTCCGCCTCGGGTTTCGGATAACCAAGCGGGCCTTAATGGTTAGAGTAGAGTTTTGGGGTATAGAATGGTACAATTATATAGCGCTTATATCTAGATGCTATTGCTAGTAATTCGACCGTTTCGGAATGTCGGTACAGGCTTGAGGGTAACAGGATTTCGGAACGACGGAAAATTGGATCCCACTGCACTTAGACTTGCAGGCAGCTCATTCTTGCTTTTCAAACCCTAAGTGGGGGCTTCTTGTGCTTGCCTATGGATTCCTCCCAGGGCCTTGGCGCAGAGAATTCGCAGAAACGGCTCCACCACCATACTGTGGATGGCATAAATCCTGCATTACCTTAAGGACCCTAAACTATGGGAATGATGGTATATTCCTTATTATGGGTCATGCAGGATTTATACCATCAACCATAAGACCTCACCACCCCCCAAAAACGAAGGAATAGCTGGAGTTCAGGGAGGGATCCTTTGTAGCGATCCTGGACTTCAGGACATGGGGATCCTCTACACCCCTTGCAAAAAAGCCCTACAATTTAGGGTTTAGGGTTTAGGGTTGGTCCCCGAAATTAGAGCTCTGAATAATTCACAACAGTGCCCCCTTGTAGTCCCGTATGGTATAGTCCACCCCCAGTCAAGAGCCTAGTCACATCATGAAGGGTTGCGTATCACAACGAAGATGGAACACCCTCAGGAAAGCAGCCTCTCACCAACCTGAAGCAGCCCGTCAGGGCTAGGGCTTAGGGCTTAGGGTTTGGGGTTTAGCGTTTAGCGTGTAGGGTTTAGGGTTTAGGGTTTTTTTGGTTTTGGGGTTTGGAGCTACGTTAGGCCCTTAACCCTTAAACCCCCCAAGCCCGTGAACCCCTAGACCCTAGAACCCCAAAGCCCCAAAACCCTGAGGAAAGCCAAGTTCTTCAGTGATCTGGCGATCTCCGAGGAGCACCGCCCACGCCGCTGGGCCAGTGCTCGGAAACACGTGCTTCTTGTGGTTCCTGTAAGGGTTCTACAAGGCGGCGCGCCTTATTTTCCCTGGCGTTCTCCTTGCTTATCGCGGATTATTCTTGTTTCAGGCTTGTTCTCTTGCTTTCGGGGTTGCCTGACGGAGAACTTCATCAACCGCGCTGCAGTTTTGGAATGTTTGGGGGGGGGGGGGTAGGGGAGGTGTGGGGGTTGCTAATGACGAATATGTGTCGAAAGCTTTGGGCCCTGACATGATTAGTTTTTAAGGCACAGGAAATAGCTTCTTGAACCTGTCAACAGGGCCTAACCTTCAACCCCAAACCCCAAACCGTCAACTTGAAATTTTAAACGGTAAACCGTGCGACCAAACCCAAAGCCCCAAGCCCTAAACCCGTAATCAGCAGCGTGGAAGAGCGGTTCCTGTCTGCGATTTGAGCTGCAGGCATCTGAGCGGAGGAGTGGTGAAGTCCGTATATTATAGTGTATTATAGTATACATCAATATATTATATAGCCTGTTTGTAGGATATTCTAGTATATTGTAGTGCATTATAGTACATAATTATAGCAAATATCAGTACATTATAGCATATTTGTAGGATATTCTAGTATATTGTATTGCATCAACCGTTCCTATGGCCTCAGCCGGGGAACCAAGCAACTGAAATGGGCCTCTAGAGAGTTTAGGGTTTAGGGTTTAGGATTTAGGGTTTAGGGTTTAAGGCGTCGCGGCTCGAGCACTATTGGACCTCCGGGTCCTTAGGGTATACCCGGCCCCAGCGCTCGCCATTGAGCGCGCTTGCCTTCTCCTGCGGAGGGGTCGGTGGAAAGTATTTCTGCCTAATCAGGGGCGGCCCTGGTTTGCTGGTGGTTGGTGCCACCTTCTGGATTCTGCTTCTGGGTGGGTCCGGCTTCCTCACAGAGTACGCTGCCTCAGGCCGTCCTCTTGTGAGAGGTTATTCTTCTCCACATCAGAGCACGCTGCCATCGGCCGTCCTCTGGTTGTGAGTGACTACATACATGGGCAAGAGCCAACCATACCTGCTGGTCGGTCTCTTGTCGTTATTTGGGATATTTCTTTTGTGGATTGGGAGCGCTCCCCACCATTCGGCGTCCTCGCAGTCCGGGTTGGCACCGGCGAGCGAGGCGCCGGCGGAGCAAGGCCAGACAGCGTTATCGCAGGTGTCGCAGCTCAGCAGAGGACTTAGCTCTTCTTCGCGTACACCACGGGAGCATGGCTCCCAAACCTACTCCGAAATCGAACGGGAAAGGTACCAAGCAAGGCAGTGGAGAGGCTCCAAAGTCGCAGGTGGAATTTGGGTTGCCCCCTGCCGTTGTCACATCTCTTCAAGCGATCACATCCAGAGCTACACAAGGATTATGGCATTCCGACCAGCCTGGGATCGGCGAAGTGACCGCAGAGCAACATGCACAGCGTCGAGCGAATTTGATCAGGACATTGTCGAGACGCATTACAGGCAATGTCAAAGCGAAAACGGAACTCAAGGATGCCTTGAATCAGTGGCTCATACAGTTATCCCAGCACCTACAAGGCCTCACTGCCAGGGTATCTGCAATCGGGCAAAAGATCGACGAGGATCTTCAGAGTGCCTGCGACGAGATGGTGGTGGGCCTAGAAGCTCGCAACTCGCTATCCACGGCCGACCAGGTCTCACACGCAAGATCTTCTATGGGGCCGGTCTGGCGGCCACCTCAAGAGGCTGCTGTTTTGGAACTTGCAGCAGGTCTCCGCGCACTTGGCACAGTCACAGTGCCTCCGCAGGCGGTGATTGGCACACCTATGATCCCGGCTCGGCAGCATGGCCCTGTCCTGGCTGGCACGGCGGATCCTGTGGGCGGCGACTCTGGGACTGGATCCGAAATGAGTTTCGGAGCGGGCCTCGCGGACATTGCGGCGGATGTTCCCATGCAGGCCACCGAGCCCTTGGCAGAAACCCCACGGCCTACTCGCTGGAAGCGTCGCAGTGGAGGCTCGACACATCGACCATCGAAGAGCCCACGCCGAGAGCAGACTTTTGGGGCTCCTTGGCCGTCTACGTCTACGGGGCTTACACCGGAGAGCTTGCGGCCTGCAGCGACAACGGCTCTGTCAGTGGATGGGCCGCCTATCCCACCCGGGGAGGGACAATCCATTTTGGACTGGCCTTCGGCCTGGGCCAAATTGGCCGAGTTTGCGACAGAAAATGGCGCCGAGCTTATTGGCGAATTGAGTATCTCGCCCGAGCAGGATGCGGCCATCCCCCTCTCGCCGGACGTCAGTGTGGAAGAGGAAACCGTTGTTACGTCCAACGAGGCGTGGGCGGCTGTTCTCGCTTTTGTGGGGACTCCAGATCGGGAACTGGTGCCTGCTATGTGTGGCAGAATGCAAGATATTCTCAACCACCTCCGACTTTGCCCCAATGCGCTTCCCCGTGTACGCCAAGGCCTAGTTCTCTTGGCCCAGGCGACACTGGGCAATGTTCTCGACCCGTTCAGCTTCGCCCCTGCTACACGTCAGGAATGGCTCTACCCGGCCACGCTGCTGGAACACGGGACTCCACTGCGGGGCTACTTGGCCTCCTCGGCCTCGTCGTCATCAGTTGTGCAAGTCCTACTCTCACAGGGATGTCCCATGGCTCCGATCGGCGAGGACGAAGACGGTATCAGCGAGCTCCTCTGAAGCCTCACAGTGGAGATTGGGCCGTGTACATAGGTGCTATTTTCAGCTCACGTGTACAGGTTGGCGGTGAGCAGATTTGCGTGTGGGGTGCGGGATTGTATCATCTCCTTGTTGGAGAGCTGGTGCGTCTGAGCATTCTTGCTACTCACGTTGCCCTTGCTCCCAGCGCCCCGTTCCGCCGATCTCATCCGCGTGTTCAGCCAGGTCGAGGCCCCGGAAGGCACAGCTCTTGTGGTGCCCGAAGGTGTCTAGGGGCTTCCCGACCCTCTGGTAGTAAAGCCCTCGCCCTCCTTTGGCTTCTCTGTACCCCACTTAGGACCGGTTCAATCGCCCGACACCCCGTGTCTTTCCTCCTATGCGATACGGAATTCTTACCCCCTCCGCACGGTTGGTGTGTTTCAGCCAGGGAGCCCTGAGCAACCGACGATACTTCAGGCAGACGTCCGGATGCAGGGGCAGCTTTTTGAGCTCATGATGTGTCGTGCTCTAGGCCTGCAGCGCAGCGAATGGCAAGTGAGACGCCTGTCGTCGTCTCTGCCTTCTCTTCCCACTGAGCAGTATGTCCTCTCTCCTGTGACCCAGGAATGGTTCCTGGTGCACGTGCCGGTTGACCTGCGACCTTTGGGCGGGGCAATCTGCATCGTTGAGGCTTGCCGCTGGGCGCCATGCGGGGATGCGCGGTCCTTGCTATTCATGCAGCGCGACTCAGCTTTCAGGGGGGATTTGTATGTCGTACTACGCAAGGTTGGTTTACTTCGAGGGCCCTGCTGGGATTATTGCCGCATGGGGATGCGTTTCAGGTGTGGCCCGTCAATCAGGTTCCATTACCCATGTCAGGAGCTGGTGATCGCTCACTGTCGATCTCAGGTTCGTATGTTGATCGGTTTGGCACCAGCCTGAGTTACCCTGCACCGGAAGAGCTCGCGTACCATGAACTTAGCGGCGCTAATGCGGTTGTGTTACAGCCTCATGGCCTTGTCTACCTGGGGGTGCCTTCTTTTGCGGATGATGGAGTGTTGCGGCAGGCTGCCCTCGCTTCGGTCCATCCTGGGACATTTCCTGTTGAACCTGCATACTGCTTGAGGGTCTTACCGCCGCTTGATTGCCTCCCTGCGATCCAGTTCGTTGTGACTGATACATCGGACGGGATGGTACCGTGTGTTGTTGACCTTCGGCCGGTGCAGGGAGGGGTGGCTGTCGTCGAAGTTGTTCCGGCCGCCACTCCTGCTGAGCGCGTCGCTGTCGCTGTGCGTCGGTACGGTGAGCCGGTTGCCTCCAGGTCTCTTTACATGCAGCTTGCCAGAGGCCACGCACGCGTGCTTCACCGCGGTCATGTGGTTGACGCTCACACTCCGCTCCATGTCGAGCTGCCGGCACCCCTAGTGGTGGTGCCTAGACACACCGACAGTAGAGGGGCGCAGCAGCCTTCAACGCTAGACGGCCCCTTAGATGAGGACGAGCATACTTTGCCGCAGTCTTCAGGGCTGGGTGCCCCGAATGCGCAGCCATCTGGTGCACGGGGTACACGACCTGGGGGCGTTGCTGCTTGCTTTCTCCTGGGGGGGTTGTTGCGGCCAAGTCTTCTTGGGGTTCTGCTTTGCGCTTCCGGGACATGGGCGATGGTACACCAGGACTTGTCGGCGGCGGGCGATGCCTGGCTGCACCCTGAGGATGTCGCCTCTGTCGAGGCTCGCCGGTCGCTTGCTCGTACACTTGCCAGCTTGGAGTCGCGTGATACTATCCTGCCCCATTACAGCCCGTCTGTGGCCGCGCATTTGGTTTTCAACTTCTGCGTGTGGAGCCCTGAGAGCTTTGACTCATTCCAGATCCGAGGTGACGCTCTGGCGCATGACCTCCACGACCGATTATGGGACAGCCGGGTTTCGGCTGGCAGAGGACGGCTGGAGCTAGTCGAACCGCTCTACGCGGATACCTGTGTGCATTTCGTTGCTAGCGCCCGTGATTCCTCCCTGGTCACTATCTTGACGGATGTGGGGATTGCCCGCGTTTGCTTGGATGTCTCCAGGGACAAAGCTGGCGTATCCATGCTCCAAGCGTTGCAGCTACTATTCCCGAAGTTGCCTATGCGGATTTCGGAGGCCCCGCGATCTCCATTGCGACATGGGGATGTCGTTCTGGTGCATGTGGAGCGAGAGACCGATTCTCAGGAAATGGGGGCCCTTACCATTGTCCCTGCGGCATGGCAGCCCGACCTCGCTCCCGGCACCGAGCTTGTGTACATCACTGCGACCGACTTGGGCTTGTTGCAGCTTGTGTTGCCTCAGGATCTCACCCCAGCCACCATTGGACAGGCGTTGCTGCGATGGCTAGGCAGGCAGCGCTGTTTGGGAGTGGGGCTCCATGCCATCCGGGTAGCAGGTGTCACCGAACGGGTGTTCTGTCTACCGCGCCGTTATAAGTCGACTTTGACGGCCGTCCTTGCTGACTCAGAGGGCTTCCACTTCCCTATGGCCGTTGCGACCATTGACCGTGATGGGACTTCTCCTCTTACTTGTGCGTCACTGCGGGAAGGACACGGCACTTCGGGGTTTTGGGCTGACGTGCTAGCCCGTAATCCAGTCTGCCTTCAGCGACAATTCTCTGACGGCACTGCGCATCAAGGTCCGCATGTTTGCTTTCGCCTTGGCTTGGACGGGCACCGCGCTGTGAGCACGGGATGGCACCCTGTGCGCTCAACCCAGCCTGCTCGGTACGACCTCTTCGCATATGTCCTTGAGAAAGAGTTGGACTGGTTTGAGGTGACCGCTCCTCGTGTCTCTCGCCACATCGGCACCCAGACTGTTGCTTCCTATTGGCCAGTTGCGGCGTCGCCCTTGTTTTCTGCCTCTGTACCCGTGCCGAAGTATGCCGATGGTTGCTCTTTTCTTGATGATCTCTCTCCAGGCGGCACTCTCTTTCAGCTCGCGTGTCCGCATATGCATGTGCGATGTACCCTGCCATGTGTTCCGGGTTATCGTATGTGGGCCATTCGGCTGAAGAACTGGGTGTATGCTGCGCGCACTGAAGTTATCACATGGCATGACATCCTGCAAATTTCCGGCCTGCCTTCTTGGGATCTTCCAGAGATCCGCATCCATGGTGCTACGCAGATTTGGGAATGGCCCAATGAGGTCGCCTCCCTCGATGGGCAGTGCGGCCACCTCCTCAAGGATGGACATGATACGTGCTTGCCCCGGGACACCGCCGAAACCAGCATAGCCAGCACCTATCCGGGACCCCCTGCCTCGCCCACTGTTGATCCAGGCTCAGAAGATCGCCCCTTTCTTGCGCCGGATAGTGCCGCCTTTGGGCCGGTGCTTTGGTTACACTGGGTCCTGTGCGGGCCAGTTATGTTCGCTCGTTGGCCCATTGCTTTTTCCGCTGCTGTTGCAGTTGTTCTGGCTAGCGGACAGGCAACGTCTGACAGTGATGACGGGCCGAATGTGACACCTCAGGTTAACTCTACGGAAGGGCGTACACTCGCATGGTGCCATGACTTAGCCTGTCAAAGCACGCACTTTGGTGTGGATCCAATTTCTCTAGCTACTTACTTCGAAGCCAGCGCGCCTCACGACCTAGTACGCATGCAGCTGTGGTTACCTTTTCAGGGGCCGGTGACATTTGATGTGCAGCGCGCTATCAGTGCGAATGATCTCAGCTGTGTGCTTTACGAAGCGGGCCACAGACCTCCTCAGCACACCCTGTTTGTCGCCTTTGATACGCACAGCACTGTTTTGGATGTTCTATCCGTCCCTGCGGGGGACAATGTTTGGTGGATTGTCCGTGACGGATTGGCCCGTGAGCTTTTGCGTCCAGTCACACCATGGTATGAGGGCACACGCCGGCTTGCTGTGACAATCAACTCCCATGGCCAAGCTGTCAGTCTTGCTGCGTCGCCCGAGTGTGCTACCATGCGGCACTATCCGCAGGGTGCCAGGGGTCTGGTTGCTGTTCCGCTTACCCGCGTTTATGGTCACGTCACCTCTAGTGGGATGGTTCTCGCGGAAGCTAGCATTGGGGTCCTGGGTGCTTGCCTTGGGAAGTACATAGGGCGCGGGGTCAGTATCCTCCTACTGGCTGTCCTTGCGGGCGGTATGCAGCAGGAGCAGGCAGTGGCCAGGCGTCAACCTGTTGCCACCTGGGGCAGTCCCCCGGCACCGCCGGACGATATATATGTGTGGACGCATACCCTGCCGGCGCCCTTAGTCGTTCCGTTCGAACCCCAATTCAATCCAGTGGTCCTGGCGCGGCGTGTGGCGGCCACAGGCAGAGGTGTTCATGCAGAAGGTGTATTTGATTGGACGATTCCTCAGCAGGTTCACAGCTCTGCACATGTTCTACACTATCCTGCCAGGGCCTCACAGCAGATTGTGTATTGGCTGCTTCACTACCGGGGCCGCGGCTGTGTGCATTGTGCAGTCCCAGGTAATCTGGATTGGCAGCTCTTAGGGCGTGAGGCTGCTGAGGCTTTCGGGGTCGAGGGACTCGGCCGGGGGTTGTTCGGCATAGAAAACCGGGGCCGCATTTTTACATATGGTTCCCCGCTGGTGGCACCGCCTCATGGCACCATTCTTCACCTGATGCGTGTCAATGACAACGGTCCGCAGGCCAGCGCCCTTACATGGGATGAACGGCCCCGCTTATGTGCATTCCGCAGTTTGACTACAGTATCTGTCGAGGGCCACAGGGTGAGGCCCCCATCGTGTGGTCTTCGGCACAACCCCGTGAGGATAAGGACAGCCGCAGCAGCAGTCACCCTGAAACGCTTGCTCGTTTGGAGTCCATTGTCGTCTGTCTGCAGTCGGACATGGAGCGGTTGCTTTCTCGCCTGCCTGAGCCGTCAGCACCGTCAGAGGAGGCAGCGCCCGTCAATGCAGAGATGCCTGCTACATCGCCTCTCCCTAGTAAGTCTGCTTGCCTGGGCACACGATGGCTGAACCAGGTCAGCCTTTGCTGGTTCTTCCTGCACATGTTTGTTCGACCAACAGGCTGCTCCCATT